ACTCCAGGTTTGAATTCAGAGTTGTCCTTCTCCTAGACCAGTTGCCATCCAAGGCTATAGAATCCAGTCTGTCCTGCTATTTACCCAGAAGAAGAGGATTCAGACCTTTCCCAAGTGAATGTAATGGATTCAACTGGAATTCGAACTCAGCTCTCCGATTCCTAAATCCAAGTCGCTATCCATTACTCCACTATGCCTTCTCCAGATGACCAAGTACAATTTTATTTTTGTTGCAAAAGGTTGCTAGATGATGTTCAGATAACACCTGTCATACACGTCTCTCCTTCACAATCAAGGAGCCAATATTAGGGGAGACACCGCATTCATGCTGTTATTTGTTACTTTTGATCCTTTTACTGCCATGATTGTTCTTAAGCAGGATACTGGAGTAGTTTCCCTTTATGTTCTCCTCATTGATTTTGTTGAAACACCACCTCTAGTTCTCTCCCTTTGAGAGAGCACCTCTAGTTAACCCAATATTGACTCTTTTGAGTTCATCCATGTTGAATTAGTATATAATATCTAATCTCCTAAATGAAAGTGAATGTTGGACCATGTTTTCACAGCTGAAGAAATGACTTGAAGTGATAGAATTGTGGTTTTATCTGTGTAAGCTGAGAATACAATGAACTGAACATGAGAGCAATGAAGAAATTTTAAGGGAAATTGGAGCTACAAGGAAACTTATACTTAAAGTTAAAAAGAGACTGTCAAAATTCTAGGACAAATAATGAAGAAAAAGTACTTGGAGAATCTAATATTCATAAGACATTCGTCCTGGGTATGACGATAAACTACATCCGCGTCCTGGGTATGACAATAGACTATGTCCAACAGCAAGGCCTCTGATAATGTTTTTGAAAAAATATTACCAGCTATACGTTTTTTTTTTTTATTGAAAGAATAGTATTGCCGACTATACGTTTTTGAAAAAATAATATTACCAGCTATACATTTTTGAGGAAAAAAATATTAACAGAAATAGATTTTTGACAAAACAAAAGTATTACCAGGAAAAAAAAAGTTGTCAGTATTAAATGACCCATTGAGGTTGATATTCCATAAAACAAAACAAACAAATAAATCATAAGACATATTGAAGGCAAGAGAAACAAAGGGGATAACAGCAAGTAACCTACTAAATAATTTGTGTAAATGAATGGGGAAAATAAGAAAAATAGGAAGAATAAAGTGTCACAAATTACTTTGAACAATAACTGACAGGAAGTTGTGGAGAGACATAATCATCTACATCCTAAAGTGATACAGCACATAAAAAAATTTTTTATACATATGGCAGCTTCCTCTGATCCTAGCTCTTCAGGAAGTTTTCATGTTGTGTTTTGTATTTTAAAACATCATAATTGACAACTGATGGTTGTCCACCTCTGTGCCTCATTTCAAGAGACAGATTTCTACCCTTGAATCAGTTTTGGTCAGTATGGTCATTTTTTTTTTCTAATTTCCTATACTTCCAGAATTTGGCAAACAGAATACACACACACAGTGGATAAAGGCATTAGTTAGATCCAGTGACAGAATCCAAAGAGTGTGAGTTCAATACCCAGTCAAGAAAATGGAGAACTTGGAGAGGGGAATTGACAGGAGATAACTGATAATTGACATCCATTAAACATGGCACATGGAACTAGAACAGTCTACCCCAGTGAGCGAAATAAAGGCTTAAGTTCGACATTCCAACCACCTGAAGAAGGCCAGAGCATACAACAGCTGAAACATTGTAATAAATATGGCGACAAAGATGAGGACAATAGTCCGAATAATGTAAATAGTGTACATAATACCTCATCTCAGAAATATAGACAGATACTGAAAGGCCGAAATGTTGTAATAAATATGGTGACAAAGATGAGGACAATAGTCCGAATAATGTAAATAGTGTACATAATACCTCATCTCAGAAATATAGACAGATACTGAAAGGCCAAAACGTTGTAATAAATATGGCGACAAAGATGAGGACAATAGTCCAAATAATGGAAATAGTGTACATAATACCTCATCTCAGAAATATAGACAGATACAGAATACAATGGATTGATATGTGAGCACCAAGGGACTCTTAAGGAAAATAGAAACAAAGAAACTTATACTTACAAACAGAAAGAGATAGGTGAAATTTCTAGGACATAAAATGGAGAAAGAGAATATAACACTCAGATGACATACTGAAGTCAAGTGAAGCAAAGGGAAAGATAGAGTAACCTACTGAAAAAGCTTTGAGTTAATGGATGGCAGAACAAGGACAAATAGAGATAGTAAATGGTCAAAAGTTACTTAGAGCAACAAAAGACAGGAAGTTGTGGAGAGCCATGATCACCTACATTCTGAAAAGACATGACATGTAAAAAATATTATCCATGTTATCAAATTTTTTTTCTTCAGAGTCATTTAAGAATCATTAAACATTACTCCATGTCAAAGTACCCAAGGTATTTATTAAGTATAGTCTGACACAAGGTCATATAGCTGAGGCACCAAATGAAGAGATGATTAATTAATATTAATGTGTCCAGGATGTTAGCAATGTAAGATAAAATCCCAAATCTGTTCCTATCAACAATTGTATCAGAGGTTTCCTTTTTATCATTTAATCTTTTCTATCATTTCTATCATTTCTATCATTTATCATTTCTATCATTTCTATCATTTCTATCATTTCTATCATTTATCATTTCTATCATTTTTATCATTTAATCATTTATTTTATTTTATCATTTAATCTTTTCTATCATTTCTATCATTTCTATCATTTATCATTTCTATCATTTTTATCATATAATCATTTATTTTATTTTATCATTTAATCTTTTCTATCATTTCTATCATTTCTATCATTTCTATCATTTATCATTTCTATCATTTTTATCATTTAATCATTTATTTTATTTTATCATTTAATCTTTTCTATCATTTTATCATTTCCCTATCATTTCTATCATTTTTTTTATCATTTAATCATTTATTTTATTTTATCATTTAATCTTTTCTATCATTTCTATCATTTCTATCATTTTTTTTATCATTTAATCATTTATTTTATTTTATCATTTAATCATTTCTATCATTTCTATCATTTCTATCATTTATCATTTCTATCATTTTTATCATTTAATCATTTATTTTATTTTATCATTTAATCATTTCTATCAATTCTATTTTATCATTTATCATTTCTATCATTTCTATCATTTAATCATTTATTTTATTTTATCATTTAATCATTTCTATCATTTCTATCATTTATCATTTCTATCATTTTTATCATTTAATCATTTATTTTATTTTATCATTTAATCATTTCTATCATTTCTATCATTTATCATTTCTATCATTTTTTTTTATCATTTAATCATTTCCTTTTTAAATTTATCATTTAATCTCTAAAATTGAACTGCAGTTCTTCAGGTGTCAAAACTGGATTGGGTAAATTCTGAAAGCTCATCACTATAAATTTTAATATTTGTGAGATTTAGAATAAAATACATTGGACTAACATAGGCAGCTAACAGAAAAGAAAGTCAATACAATATTTAGACTGAAATAATTATAATAATAGCTAGATATGAACAGACTAAAATGGAGTGATAGATTCAAAGTGAGATAGATAGATAGATATATAGATAGATAGATAGATAGATAGATATGAACAGACTGAAATAGATTCAAAGTGAGATAGATAGATAGATAGATAGATAGATAGATAGATATGAACAGACTGAAATAGATTCAAAGTGAGATAGATAGATAGATAGATAGATATGAACAGACTAAAATAGATTCAAAGTGAGATAGATAGATAGATAGATAGATGAATGAATAGATAGATGAATGATGATTGAACATGACTGAAATAGATTCAAGAGATAGATAGATAGATAGATAGATAGATAGATGAGATAATAATAGATTCATGAATAAATAGATAGATAGAAAGTAGATAGATAGATAGATGAATAGATAATGATGAATAGATAAATAGATTCAAAGTGAGATGAGATAGATAGATAGATAGATAGATAGATAGAACAAATGAAAATAGATTCATCAAAGATAGATAGATCATATGAATAGATAGATATGATAGACTAAATAGATTCAAATGATGTATATAGATAATAGATAGATATATATGCGGATAGATGAAGATGAATAGATAATAATAGATATATGAATAAGATAGAACAGATGGATGAATGGATAACAAAGAACTCTGATAGATAGATGAATAGATGATAGATGATATAAATAGATGAGATGAATGAACAGATAAATATATTCTTTCAAATGGATATATATTTATAGATGAATAGATATATAGATATATAGATAGATATATAGATATGGATATGAAAATGATATAATGGATTGAAAATTTAAATAGATAATTCAAATGTACTAAGATTCAAAATAGAATAGATATATAAATCAGATGGAAAAAATGATTTATAGATAATAGATAGATGTCGGTTTAGATAGATAGATATCTGGAATGAATGATAATGATAGATAGATGTGATTTGAAAGAATGAATGATAGATAGATAGATAAAATAGATAGAATAGATTTGAACAGACTTGGAAAGATTCAATAGATTTTTGAATAGATAGATAAAATATGATAGATAGATGAATAGATGAATGGAGATAGATAGATGAATAGATTTAATGAATTCTAGATCAATAGATTTTTAGATTTTAATAAATAGATAGATGCTGAGATAATAGATAGATAGACCAGATACATAGATTTATTATAGATAATGAATAGATGGATAGATAGATAAATAGATAAATGAATAGATGAATAGATAGATATTTGAATTTTTTATTGATAGATAGATAATGATAGATATGAATATATGAATAGATAGATTTCATAGATTCATAATAATGAATGATAAATAAACTTGAATGATAAAAAGATAAATAAATATAATAGATAGATAGATGGAATAGATATATAATATATATGATAATCTATAAATTCATGATAAGATAGATAGATAGATATAGATGAATGGATAGATAGATAGATGGATACTGATAGATAGATAAATAAATAAATAGATAGATGAATAATATGAATGAACTAAAATAATTCATATGAATAGATAGATAGATGAGATAGATACTTGAATATGATATGAATGAGAACTGAAATAATTCAATGGAATAGATAGATAGATAGATAGATAGATGAATGATATGGATGAATATATAGATATGTGAATGATAGATGAATTTAATAAATACTTGATATAGAGATTCTTATATAGATAGATATATAGATAGATAGATGAAATGAATGGATGAATGGATGATGATAGTATATGATAGATAGATAATGAATGAATAGATAGATAGATAATATAGATAGAAAGGATTTAGATAGATAACAGATAGATAGATAGATAGATAGATAGATATAATAGATTTCTAATAATAGATGAAAAAATATATATGATATGAATAGATAGATGAATATGATAGATGTGGATAGAAGATAGATATGATAGATATATAAATATATATTATATGGATAGATAGATAGATATGATAGATATGATATATATATTTAGATGAATATAGATGAATTCTCATGATGGATAGATAATAGATGATAATTTTAACTAATGATAGATTCAATCTAGATTCTTTTTGAATGATGAATAAATAGATAGATGGATAGATATGAATAGATATTTGAATGTATATAGATGATAAATGATAGATAGATAGATAGATAGATATATTATAAATAGATTGAATGATATATACATGAATAAATATGAATAGATGAATTTTCAATATATATAGATAATAAATGTCTATATATTGAATGATAGATTTCATAGATTTCTAGATAGATAGATATATAGATATATATATAAATATGATATATAGATAGATAGATATTAGATAGATGGAATTCCTTAGATATATGAATAGATAGATAGATGATGATATACATAGATATATAGATAGATGAATGAAATTTCAATATATATATATATATAATGATTGGCATAGATAGATAGATAGATAGATAGATAGATAATAGATAGATGAATTAATAATAGATATCCTGATATATTGAAAAGATTATAAATAAATGATATATGAATTCTATATAAAATAGATGAGATATATATATATATAGATATGAAAGATGAATAGATAGATATAATGAATAGATTTTATAGATAATATTTTTATAATGGATGGATAGATATAGATGATATGAATAGATAATAGATGAAATTTATGAGTTAGATAAATAGATAGATGAATAGATGATAGATAATAAATATATTCATAGATGAATAACTATAGATGAATAGATAGATATATATATATATAGATATATATAGATGGATAACTTATACATGTATGATGAATAATGAATAGATGTAAACATATATATAGATGAATGATAGATAAATATTAGATAATAGATAGATATATGATAATATGAATGAAAAATATCATATTTTTTAATTGATAAATGGATAGATATCATGGATAGATATTTTAAATAGATGAATAGATGATATATATGAATGAGATAATAGATGGATAGAATGAGATAGATAGATGATATATAGATCATTAATTTAAATAATAGATATGATAGATAGATAGATAGATAGATAGATATATTCGAGATATGATCTTTTGAGATAATAGATAATGAATGGACTAAAATATTTATATATATCAGAGATAGATAGATAGATATATAGATAGATGGATGAATGGATTGATAGATAGATGAATAGATGAATTCATAGATAATAGATATGTATAGATAGAATGATTTAAATGGATAAATAGATAGGAATATATGTAGATAATATAAGTGAATATATATATAATATTTCGTATATATGATACATAATTATTTATTTATATAAAGATGATAATTTAGATAGATGGATGAGATAGAATAGATATGATAGATGAATAGATATGATGATAGATAGATGAATGATATAGATAATATATATATATATATATATATATATATGAATATAGATAGATAGATGAATATATATATATATATATAGATAGATAGATAGATAGATGAATATAGATAGATGAATAGATTATAAATATAGATTTGTAAATAGATGAATATAGATAGATAGATAGATAGATAGATGAATGAATATAGATAGATGGATAGATGGATAGATAGATAGATAGATAGATAGATGAATGAATGAATGATATGAATGAATGATGATATGATAGATAGATAGATAGATAGATGATTTGAGATGTTTAGATGAATAGATAGATATATAGATATATAATGAATGAATAGATGATATTTATATATATATATATATGAATTAATATTTAGATAGATAGATATAGATAGATAATAGATAATAGATAGATATGATAGATAGATAATATACGCAAATAATTGATAATAGATAAATGAATGATTAGATATATAGATAGATGAATAGATAGATATGGATAGATAGATAGATAGATAATATATATGATAGATGAATAGATAATAGAATAGATAGATAGATGAAATAGATAGATAGATGAATATAATAGATAGATAGATGAATAGATAAATATATATATGAAATATATATATATATATCAGATAATAATATAGATGAATATATAAATAGATAGATAGATAGATAGATAGATATATAGATAAATAGATATATAATAGATATAAATAGATATATATATAGATAGATAGATATATAGATAGATGGATAGATATATAGATAGATAGATAGATGGACTGATATGATATAGATAGATGGATGGATAGATGAATAGATAGATAGATGAATGGATGAATGATGAACATATATGAATATAGATAGATATATGTAGATATATAGATAGATAATGAATATAATAGATGATATATAAATGGATAGATATATATGAATAGATAGATGAATAAATATATATATAGATAGATATATGAATATGTTTGATAGATATTTGATAGATATATAAATGAATAAATAATAGAAAAAATGAATTTAGATAGATAGATGAATGTAGATAGATAGATAGATAGATAGATAGATGGATGAATAGATAGATAATAGATGGATAATAATAGATAGATATATGGATATATGAATAAATATATAGATATTAGATATGAAATTAAATGAATGGATGATATATAGATAGATAGAATGGATATATGAATAGATAACTATATTTATAAGATGAGATAGATAGATATATATAGATAGATAATATGATATAGATATATAGATAATAGATAGATAAATATGAATGGATATGATAGATAGAATATATAATGAAATAAATATGATATATATTTATTATGATAAATAGATAGATAGATATGATAATGGATGATATAGATAGATATATGTTTCATATAATAATATAGATATTAGATAGATAGATAGATAAATAGATAGATGATAAATATAAATAGATAAATATGAATAGATGATAGATAGATAGATAGATAGATATATAGATAAATGAATAGATAGATAAATGAATATGATAGATGATATATATATATAGATAGATAATATCATAGATAGATATTGATAGATAGATAAATAATGAATAGATATATTTAATATATATGTATATAAGATAATAAAATTTGATGAACATGATAGGATAGATATGTGAATGAATATTCCTCAAATGAATTTTCAATATATATATAAATGATAATAGATAGATAGATAGATAGATGAATGAATGAATGAATGAATGAATATATATATAGATGAATAGATAGATAGATAGATAGATAATAGATAGATAGATAGATATTATATAATATTTAGATAGATAGATGTATGAATAGATGAATAGATAGATAGATGATATATGATATGATGAGATATCAATAGATAGATAGATATATAGATGATAGATGAATGAATAGATAGATGAATGATTGATAGATAGATATATGAATAGATATATATAGATAGATAGATGAATGGATTAATGAATGGATAGATGAATGGATAGATAGATAGATGTGGAATGGATGATATAGATGAATAGATAATATGGATATATAGATAGATGATTAATGATAACATATATGGATATCTAGATAGATAGATATTAGATGGATATGATGATTAGATAATGCAAATAGATTTGATAAATGGATAGATGATGGAATGGATGAATGAATAGATATATGGATGGATTTGGATAGATATTAGATATATGATATATATTAATGGATAGAACTAGATGGATAAATTTCAAATAAATAGATAGATAGATAGATGGATGGATAGATGGATTTATATATGGATAGATAGATAATTATAATGAATGTGAATGAATGTTTTAATAGATGGATGAATGGATGGATCATAGATTCATATAATATATTTTCATATATAGATGATATATTTTTATATATATATGGATAGATAGATAGATGAAAATAGATTTTTATTTTACATAGATTTTGAAATGAATGATAAAGATATTTTGGATAGAAATGGATTTATGATGTATGAATTTGTAATAGATGGATAGATGGATGGATGGATGAATATGAGAATATTATTCAATAGGATGGATATATGATAGATAATATGGATAAATATATATGATAGATAGATGGATATATATATAATATATATATATATTATATAGATAGATAATGGATGGATGATTTGAATAGATAGATAGATGGATGAATTTTCATTCATGATAAATGGATAATGGATTTATGGATAGATAAATGATATATATATAAATATATAGATAGATGTTCTTAGATATGATGGATTGATGGATATATAGATATTGGATAGATGAATAGATGAATAATATGATTTTTAGATGGATAGATAGATATATAAATGGATTAGATAAATATGTTTTAATGAGATGAATAGATGATGGATATATGGATATGATTAAATGGATGAATGATGGATGGATAGATGGATGGATGGATGAGATAATGGATAATATAGATAGATATATGGATGTATGGATATATAATGAATATATATAATATGGATGGATAGAAAGATGGATGGATGGATAGATATGATGGATAAATAATGGATATGAATAGATGGATAGATGGATGGATGGATAGATGGATGGAATATAATATAGGATGGATGGATGGATGATTGGATGGATGGATGGATGGATGATATGGGGATGATAGATGGATGGATGGATGAATGAATGATAGATGGATGGATGTAGATGGATGGATAGATAGATAGATAGATGATGATGGATATTTACAGATGGATAGATGATTGATAGATGGATGGATGGATGATAACATAGATGAATAGATATTTGGATAGATGGATGGATAGATAGATAGATGAATGAATGATATGGATATATATAGATAATGGATAGATAGATACATAGATAGATATATGAATGGATATATGGATATAGATATGAGATGAATAGATATAGATATGATATGATGGATGGATAGATGGATGGATGGATAGATAGATAGATAGATATATAGATATGGATAGATAAATATAATAATTGATGGATGATATGTTTAGATAATAGATAGATAGATATATGAATAGATGATGAAATAATTTAATAGATGATGGATGGATATATATATATATATGGATAGATGGATAGATAGATAGATAGATAGATAGATGGATGGATAGATAATAGATGGATGATATATGAATAGATGGATAGATAGATAGATGGATAATATATATATATATATAGATAGATATATGGATGAATGGATATATGGATATATGAATAAATGGATGGATATTTGGATGAATATCATAGATGATGATAAATGGATAGATATAGATATGGATAGATGGATATATGATTTGAATAGATAATGAATGAATTTCTGGATGTTTGGATGGATGATAAATGGATAGATAGATGGATGGATGGATGATGGATGGATAATAATGATATAGATAGATGAATAGATGGATGGATATATAGATATGAATGTATGAATATAGATAGATGAATGAATGGATAGATAATGGATGAATGATGGATAAATGGATGGATGGATGGATGGATAATAAATAGATTTTATATGGATAATAGATGAATATGAATAATAATGGATAATAGATGGATAATAGATAATAAATGAATAGATGGATGGATAGATGATATGAATATAATGAAATATAAATATATATATATATGGATAGATATATAGATATATTTATTTGGATAATGAAATAGATAGATGATATGGATATATATATATGGATATATTATAATATATATAGATATATGGATGGGTGAATATAAAATATAGATATATGGATATGGATATATATATAATATATCTAGATGAATGGATAGATATTATATGAATAGATAGATAATATATCTTATGATAGATAGATAGATAGATAAATATAATAATTTTTTTGATATTTGGATAGATAGATAGATAGATATATATATGAATGAATTTGAATGATATGAATATAAATTCCTAGACTTCCTAAATAAATAGATATATAAATTTAGATATGTAGATATTTTTTATGAATAGATATATAAATGATAAAATGAATAGATGAGATAGATAGATAGATAGATAGATATATATATAGATATATATATATATGGATGAAATATAATAATATTTGAATTTGATAGATGGATGGATGATATATTTTGATAAGATAGATAATATATAGATAAATATCAAATAGATAGATAGATAGATATTCTCATGGATTGATATATATTTTATATATCTGGATATATATATGAATGGATGAATGGAATAGAAATAATAATAATATGAATAAATATAGATATAGAAATAGATATGTTTGAATAGATTTATATAGATATATATATAGATAGATAATATAATGGATTTTCATATATAGATTTATAGATATATAGATATATATATATTTGAATAGATAATATAATAGATAGATAAATATATATATATATAATATGATATATATATATAAATGATATATATCAATATATATAATAGATGAATAGATGAATATATATTTAGATATAGATAATGAAATATATATATTTATAGATATATAAATAGATAGATAGATATTTTCATGGATTTAGATATATAAAAATAAATGAATGATTGATATTTAGATGAATATTAATTAGATATTTGAATAGATAATTATTTTAAAATAGATAGATAGAATATATATTCTGATAGATATATATATAATAATAGATATATATATATGATATATATATATATAGATAGATAGATATTTAGATAGATAGATAATAAGATAGATATATATAGATGAGATAATAATAATATTCTGAGATAGATAATATAGATATTTGATAATATTTAATAATGGATATATCATAAATCATATAGATAATAATATCTAGATAGATAGATATTCATAGATAGATAATGAATTATTGATGATTATTTTATATGATAGATAAAATGATAGATAATATCTAATATATATATTTATATATATTTAATATATATATATATATATATAATATATATAAATAGATAGATGATAGATAGATAGATAGATAGATAGATAGATATTTAAATATATTATATATATAGATAGATAGATAATAATATAATAGATTTATAATGGATGAACATGATGATATGATAGATATGATAGATAGATAATATATAGATATGATAGATAGATGGATAATATATATTTATATAAATTATATTTTTCATATATATATATAGATAGATATATAGATATATAGATAATATATGATAGATAGATATATAATAGATATATATATATATAGATGAATAGATATTTCCAGATATTTTTCTATATGAAATAGATAGATATATAGATAGATATATGATATAGATAGATAGATAGATAGATATATATGATGAATAGATAATATGATAGATATAGATAGATGAATGAATGAATAGATGAATGATGATGAATAATAGATAGATAGATAGATGATAGATATCATATATATGATATATGATAGATATATAATGATATATATATGATATAGATAGATAGATAGATAGATATATAGATAGATAGATGAATTGGATAGGTATATAGATAGATGAATAGATAAATAATGAATGAATGATATATATATATATATATAGATATATAGATATATAAATGAATAAATATATGGATGAATAGATATGATATATATATATGAATAGATAGATAGATATAGATAGATAGATAGATATAAAAATGAATAGATATATGAATGAATGGATAGATAGATGAATAGATATTTAATAGATGATATGAATAGATAGATATATATATATAATGAATGATAGATAGATAGATAGATAGATAGATAGATAGATAGATGAATGAGATATGAATGATAGATATATGATATAGATATATATATATATATTATATATATAGATAGATATGTAGATGATATAGATATATAGATAGATAGATATATATATATATATATATATATAATAGATAGATAGATATATGAATATATATAGATTAGATGAATGATAGATAGATATAATAGATAGATAGATATATAGAATATATATATATATATATATAGATATATAGATGAATATATATTCTATATATAATAGATAGATAGATTTAGATAGATATGATACCATATATAAATATATAAATAGATAAATAGATGAATAAATGATAGATAGATAATGTATATTATGAGATAATGAAATAGATAATAGATATATAATGTTTATACTATTGATAGATAGATATATAGATGATATATATAGATAAATAATGAATAAATAGATGTTTGAATAGATTTCAATAGATGCTGAGATGAATAGATAGATAATGATTGATAGATGCTATTTATGATAGATCTATAGATAAATAGATATATATATGAATAGATAGATATCTATATATGGATAGATAGATAGATAGATAAGATAGATAGATAGATCAAATAGATGAATGGATGGATAGATGAATGATAGATAGATATTTTCGATAGATATGATAGAATTTAATCAATTCCCATGATGAGATGATGAATCCAATGTCAGATATTATAGATAAATATAGATAGATAATAGATAGATAGATAAATTGTTTAATAGATGAATGGATATCATGACCTATATGTATTTATTTAGATAAATAAATGAATAATAATAGATTTGAAGATGGATTCCTGATATATAATTCTTTATATATGAATACATAAATGTTTTCAATACTGATCAATGGATTTTAGATAGATAATATGTAGATTTTTTGAATAAATAGATAATCCCTATGGATTAAATAGATAGATAGATAGATTTCCATAGATAAATGACTGTATTTAATAGATAAATATTTCTATAGACATGAATAGATATGAATAGATATAATTAATAATATTTGGATAACTGAAAAGAATTTTTGGGAAATCTTTCTTTTTTACTATAATATTTTTTAGATATATATATGCATATAATTTTGATATAGATATATATATATGAACAATATCTATCCAGATATTGTAAATAGATAGATAGATATAGATAGATGAATAGATAGATATTTTTATATATATAGAAAATTCAATATTAGATGAATAGATAGATAGATAGATAGATGAAGAATGGATTATGATATATGAATATATTGATTTCCGGATAAATGTAATAGATAGATAGATGAGATAGATCTAGATAGATAGATAGATAGATACAGAGATAAATATGATATGATGAAATAATGAATGATAGATAGATATGTATGAATGTATGTTATAATGAGATAGAATGAATATGATAAATTTTGGATTATGTAAAATGGATATATGGATAGATATATAGATAATGAATAGATATAATAGATATCATTTATGATATATATATATATATATATATAGATAGAAATATAGATAGATAGATGAATATATATGGATGAGATATATAGATATATAGATGAATGGATAGATATATATATGGATAGATGGATATATATATATGGATATTAAATGATGGATATTGAGATATTTATGGATATATGATAGATTGGATAAATAGATATATATATAATTAATGATATATGAGATGTTAATAGATAGATAGATGAATATATATGATATATAGATATCATATATATATGTGATAAATATATATATGTAGATATATATATATTTAGATGAATATATATTTATAATATATATAATAGATAGATAGATAAATAGATAAATGATTGAATCATGATAGATGAATATGGCATAGATATTTATTGATATATATGATAGAAAATAAATAATAATAGATAGATAATAAATAGATAGATAGATAGATAAATAGATATATTATGATATATGATATATGAATATATTGATAAGGATATGATATATATAGATAGATAGATATATAGATAGATAGATAGATGAATAGATAGATGGAGATATGATGATAGATAGATAGATAGATAGATAGATAGATATGATTAATATAATTAGATAGATAGATAGATAGATAGATAGATATATAGATATATAGATATATATGTCATCAAAGATATCTGTAGAATATTGACAGATAGATATCTGAATATATATGATATAGATATGATATTATATATTATATATATATATATATATTAAAAATAGATATAGATATATATATATATTGATATATATATAAATATATAGATAGATGAATGAATGACATGACAGAACCAGATAATATGGATTGATATATGATAGATAGATATGTATTCTACATGCATATATACATATTGAATAAATAGATGAATGAATGTATAATGGAATAATAATATAATAGATGGATATATTAAAAAAATCTGAGATGGATATTGATTTTTAATGAATTATGATTATAATGAATAGATAGATAGGAATAATATATAGATGGATATTTAATAGATATCATAGATAGATGGATAAATATTAGATATATATTTTAATGGATGACTAACATAGATTTTGATATATATAGATAGATAATAATAATATATATTTATAGATAAAATATATAGATATTTATATATATGAATTTCTGATTTCATATAATTTTAGATGGATATATATATTTATATAAATAATTCAATAATAGATAAATATATATAATGGATATTTAGATATTTAGATTATTTAAATATATAAATAATATATATAGATAGATGTATTATTATAGATATATAGATAGATATGATAGATAGATATATATTATATATATATATATATAAATTATATATAGATATGATATATTTATGAATGAATAGATTTATATAACAGATATGGAATAGATTTGATATAGATAATGAATGAATAATGATATGATAGATATATAGATATATATATATGATAAATAATGATAATGATTGGATATTTCATAGATAGATAGATAGATGAATAATGATGAATGATTTTATATATATATGAATAATATTATTGAAATATGATGATATATATTTTGAATTGATATAAATGATTTAAGATCAATATAGATGGATTCTTAGATATGAAGATATATAGATAGATGGATAGATGATAAATGATCTGTCAATATGAATAATAATATTGTAGATATCATAATCGAATGGATAGATAAATAATGAAATATATATATATGATCATATTTTATATATAATATATATTATAGATGATGAATGGATGAATTTAGATATATATATAATAGATAATATGATGATAGATGGATCTAATGGATAGATAGATTTCATATATATGAATATAGATAGAAAAATGATATATAGATATTTAGATATATATATATATATGAATGAGATAATGATAGATGAATGCTGTTTTATATAATATGAAAGGATAATAGATGGATATATATGTATATATTATCTCAAAACGGATAGATAGATATGAGATATATTAAATATATGATTCATAGATATGAGATTTCCTCAAGATATGTATATGGATGGATGAATATCAAAAATGAAATGGATGAAGATTTTCACATATTGGATATTTGGATATATTTGGATGAATAGATGATGAATGGATGGATGATCATATAGATATTAGATTGAAACATGACTGATAAATTTATAATATTTTTTAGATGGATGTGATTTGATAGATGAAAGATAGAACAGATTGAACCAGATGATGAATGAATGAATGAATTTTATTTTTAATAAATGAATGAAAAATATATATTTTAAATGGATGGATAGATTATCTGTAGATAGATATATAGATGGATAGATAGATAGATAGATAGATAGATAAATATATCCAAATTCATTGATATGAATTCTTTTCATAGATATCTATATTTTTGGATTTTTTGAATGACTTGTAATTTCTTATATGAATGTTTAATGGATGAATTTTAGATAGATAGATAGATATTCAGTGAATAAATAAATTCTATGATGATAGATGAATAGATAGATATAATTTTTTACTGGATGATAAATCATTCAAATGATGATATATAGATATTTAGATAGATAGATAGATACTTCTAATAGATAGATTGTATTGAATATTCAATGGTAACTACAATAGATAGATAGATTTAGATAGATAGATAATGGATATTAAATGAGATAAATTTTGATGATTAGGGATGATAATAGATTGATTTAATATATTTTCCCAGTTTAGATAGATAGATAGATATGAATAGATAATAGATAATAGATAGATAGATATAATAGATAAATAGATAGATTCTTTGTGAGATGAATGCAATGGAAATGTGTAGATAATATCATATGTGGATAGATGAGATAGATAGATATATATAATATGTGATAGATAAATATATATATATGAAATGATGTCATGGGATGATGATAGATAGATAGATGAATCTAGATAGATAGATATATAGATAAATAGATAATAATGGATGATAGATATTTGTATAATAAATAATAGATGAATAGGATGATTTAAAATATAATGAAATAGATAGATATAGATAGATAGATATGATATAGATAGATTAATATAACAGATGATATATGTAATAGATAGATATGGATATTGATAGATGGATGAATTGCATCATAAATGGATATGATAATGATATTGATGTGTATATATGGATAGATAGATATGATATGATAAATATATTTAATAGATAGATATATAGATAGATAGATATTAGATGAATAATGATAGATAGATGGATAGATAGATGATATATATAGATAGATAGATGGATGGATGGATGGATAGATAGATGGATAGATAGATAGATGTTTATAGATATGATAGATACAGATGTATGAATGAGATGAATGAATGAATGAATATGAAGATGTCGATGAATGGATGAATGGATGGATAGATGGATAGATAGATAATAGATAGATAGATGAATGTAGATAGATAGATAGATAGATGGATAATGATATGATATAATGAGATGAATGAATAGATAGATAGATAGATAGATAGATAGATATAGAATAGATAGATAGATAGATAGATATGATAGATAGATGAATATATATAGATGAATAGATGAATAGATGAATATTTAGAATGAATGTAAAATAGATAGATAGATAGATAGATAGATAATGATAGAATTGATGTAGATAGATAGATATATAGATAGATATAGAACAGATAGATAGATGGATAGATAGTGAATCCATGAGATAGATAGATAGATAGATATGATAGATAGATAGATAGATAGATGAATGAGATGAATACCATGGATAGATAGATAGATAGATGATGATTTATGATGGATAGACAGATGAATGATGATAGATAGATAGATGGAGATATGATGGATAGATAGATAGATAGATAGATAGATAGATAGATAAATTTAATGATATATAGATGAATCTTATGAATATAGATAGATACCAGATAGATGAATAGATAGATAGATATATAGATACATGATGAATGATGATAATGGATTCATGAATAATAATGATATTTCTAATAGATAGATATATTGAGATGAGATAGATATATATATATATATATTTGATATGGATATAGATATATGGATACATGAAGAGATGGATGAATGGATAGATAGATGGATGGATAGATAGATGGGATAGATAGATATGTTTATGAATGGATAGATATTTTGATAGATATGATAGATGGATGATGAATATATGGGATAGATAGATAGAAATGATAGATGAATGTTATGATATATTTAATGGTTAGATTTTTGGATGAATGAATAGATAGATAGATAGATGGATAGATAGATAGATGAATGGATATATGATATATATTTAATAACAGGGATTATATAGATATTTATTTTGGATGGATGATAGAATGGAATGGATTAGATAGATAATGGATGATAATATGATATATTTAGATATAGATGGATAGATATATGGATAGATGGAGATGATTGATTGATAGATTCATAGATATAAATGGATGGATGATTTGATGAATGATGTTGAGATGATTTGAAAAAAGATGAACAGATTGATAAGTAGATGAATGATATTGAATAGATATATAGATAGATGAATGAATTCATAAATAGATAGATAATAGATAGATAGATGAATAGATACAGAATTTAAGATAGATAGATATATGAATAGATAGATAGATGAATAATGATAGAATGAATGAATGAATGAGATATGAATATGAATAGATGAATTGATAGATGGATGAATGCATAGATAGATAGATGAATAGATAGATATGAATAGATAATGATGAAAAAAAAGATAGATAGATGATATGATAGATAGATGTATAGAAAATGACTAAATGAATAGATAGATGGATGGAGATCTTTAGATAGATGAATAGATAGATGTTGAGATAGATAGATAGATAGATAGATAGATAGATATAGATAGATAATGGATAATGATAGATAGATAGATAGATAGATGAATGTAGATAAAATATGATACATTGAATAGATGAGCGATAGATGAATAGATGAGATGATAGATGATGATGAATGGATAGATAAATAGATAGATAAATAGATGAATAGATAAATACATGATTCAATATAATAGATTTATAGATAGATAGATGAATAGATGAATAGATGGATAGATAGATGAATAGATAGATGATAGATGATGAATGGATGGATAGATGAATGAAAGATAGATAGATGAATAGATAGATAAAATAGATAGATAGATAGATAGATAGATAGATAGATAGATAGATAGATGGATAGATAGATGAATGAATAATGGATAGATACATAGATATAAATGAATAGATTTGAATAGATGGATAGATAGATAGATAGATAGATGAATAGATAGATAGATGAATGTTTTTAGATAGATAGATGAATGGATTCAGAAAGATTACTGGATTTTCAGATTTTTCATGGATACATAGATAGATGAATATATAGATAGATAATAGATAGATGATTTCGATGGATAGATGTGCAACAGACTAATAGATGGATTCATGATAGATAAATTGAGATGGATAGATAGATGCGATAGATAGATAGATAGATATTTATGATAAAGATGGATGGATAGATAGATATGAATTGATGGATAGATGAATAGATGATGAATAGATGATAGATAGATAGATGGATGAAAATGAGATAGATGAATGAATGGATGATAGATGAATAGATAGATAGATAGATGAATAAGATATATAGATAGATAGATAGATAGATAGATAGATGAATAGATGGATAGATATGGATGGATAGATTGAACAGATAGATGAATGAATAGATAGATGAATGAATGAGATGATGATAGATGAATGAATAGATAGATGAATGATGAATGAATAGATGAATGGATAGATGATATGATAGATAGATAGATATGATGTGAAAGATGGATAGATATAGATAGATGATATGAATGATTCATAGATGAATGGATGAATAGATATTATGATTTATATGAATAGATAGATGAATATGATAGATAGATGACAAATGATAGATATAATAGATGACTGGAGATAGATAGATAGATAGATAGATAGATGAATGAATGAATAGATAGATAGATAGATAGATGAATGATAGATCTAGAATGGATGAATGGATAACCTGAATTGACCTAGATAGATAGATAGATGAATTTATAGATAGATGAATGGATGAATGATGAATGGACATACTTTGAATAGATAGATGGGATGAAATAGATAGATATGTAGATGATAGATAGATGAATGAATAGATAGATACAATGATGAGATAGATATGAATAGATGAGATAGATAGATAGATGAATGGATATGGATGAATTTATTGGATAGATAGATAGATGTTAGATATGATTCATGCGATTTTTGATTATGATATGATAGATAGATAGATAGATAGATGGATAGATGAGATGAATGAATTAAATATAGATTTTTAAAATGAATAGATAGATTTTTGAATGGAATAGATGAATAGATAGATTCATATAGATAGATGAATGATAGATAGATATCAGATATGAATAGATAGATTATGATAGATAGATAGATGAATTATATAATAGATAAATAGATAGATAAAATGAATGAATATATATATATGGATATATAGATGAATAGATAGATGGATGAATTGATGAACACTGGGGATAGATTCAATAGATAGATAATGGATAGATAGATACATAGATGAATAGATAGATAGATGGATATGGACAGACTGAAATATAGATTCAATATTGATTCATGGATAGATAAATTAGATAGATAGATGGATTATGAATGATAGATGGATGAACTGACCATTCGTAGATTTATGGATGGATGGATGAAAAAGATGGATTAGATAAATAGATCGATGATATGAATTTCCCCATAGATGAATGAATGGATGTGAAATAGGATAATATAGATCAAATTTGAAAGGATGATAATAGATAGATTTCCATGGATGGACTGATGGATAGATTGAAAGGAGATTAGATGAATGTGATAATAAATGTCTTCAACTGTCGAACAGATGGATTATAGATCTTGATCAATAATGGTAGATAGAAAATGGATGATAGATAGATGGATACTTGATAATATATGAATATGAAATGGATGGGATAGATTTTTAGTCCTCTGGATGAATAGATAGATTGTGGTGGATGGACATATTTCATGGATGGTGGATGATGTGATGATAGATACATAGATAGATATAAATACATGATATCAAGATTCTGACAACATAAATAGATATGTGAATTTTGAATGGATTTACTGATATATATATATATATGGATATAGATACTATATATATATATATAACAGAATGATTCAATAGATGGATGAATGGATGGATGGATGGATGGATGGATGGGACATAGATAAAATAAAGGACAGATGGATGGATAGATTAATGGATGGGATAGATAGGAGATGGATGAATGAATGATATGATGGATGGATGGATGGATAGATGGATGGATGGATGAATTTTATGTTTACGTGGATGGTTTAGGATGAATGGATGGATGTATATACGATAAAATATTTAGATATCTAGATGGATAGATAATGATGGGATAGATGGACTGGATAGGTGGATTGATTCATGGATAGATAGATGAATGGATCTAAAATAGATTCAAATGATATTCAGATAGATGGGATAGATAGATAGATAGATAGATAGATGTATGATACTCTCTACGATCTCCGAGATAGATGGATGAATATGGTGGACGAAAATCTATTCATTCAGATAGGAATATATATGGATAGATAGAAAATAGATAGATAGATGAAATGAGATTATGGAAATAGATAGATGAATAGATATCGAGAATGGATAGACGATGATATGAACGGATTGAATGAAATAGATAGATAGATGAGATAGATAGATAGATAAATATGACAGGATATTGATAGATATGAATGATAGATAGATAGATAATGGATGATGTATATAAATAGATGGAACCTAGATAGATAGATAGATAGATAGATAGATGAAATAGATGGATAAATAGATATGAACTGGATTCAAATAGATAGATAGATATGAATAGATAGATAGATAGATAGATAGATAGATAGATTCATTTTTTGAAAATAGATTCAAAATGAGATAGATAGATAGATAGATAGATAGAACAGACTAATATAATAGATAGATAATTGAGATAGATAGATAATATTCGAGATAGATAGATAGGATTAGATAGATTCAAATATAGATTCATAGATTAAAGATGGGATGGATAGATAGATATATATTATGGATAGATAGATAGATGAATAGATAGATATCTTAGACTGGAATTCTCCAATCTGGGATGGATAGATATGATGGAATATGATAGATGGATAAAAGAATAGATAGATATGGATGAAAAGATGGATGGATAGATAGATAGATAGATAGATAGATAGATGAATAGATGATGAATGAATAGATAGATGGAACAGACTGATGGATAGATGGATAGATGAGATAGATAGATGGATAGATATGATACAGACTGAATGTAGATTCCCCAGATTTTTATAGATAGATAGATAGATAGATAGATATGTAATATGAACAGATAGATGACATGAAACATGAATTAGATAGATATAGATAGATAGATAGATGAATAGATTTTTAAAAACAATTATTAAAATGTTTGATGGATGATCATAGATAGATAGATAGATACCGAATGGATGGATAGATAGATAGATAGATGGATGAATGAATATAAAGATGGAATTATAGACAGATAGATAGATAGATAGATAGATGGATAGATAGATAGAAGAATCGATACAGATGCAATAGATTTTCATATATAGATAGATAGATAGATATATAGATAAATAGATTCAATAGTGAATATTATAGATAAATGGATAGATAGATTTGATAGATAAACCTCATAGATAGATATGATGAATAAGACTGAAATCGGATGGATGATTTGATATTGAGATAGATAGATAGATAGATTTAGATGGATAGATATGAAAATTCTGGATGGATATCATAGATATATAGATAGATAGATGGATAGATAGATAGATGAATGATATGTGTGATAGATGAATGATATGAATAGATAGATGATAGATAGATGATAGATAGATAGATAGATAGATATAAATGATAAATATAGATAGATAGATAGATAGATAGATAGATAGATAGATAGATGGATGAATGAAATATATAGATAGATAGATAGATAGATGATATGGATGAATGATAGATTGATGAGATAGATAGATAGATAGATATGAACAGACTAAAATAGATTCAAACAGATATAGATAGATAGATAGATGAATAGATAGATGATAGATCGAGATGATAGATAGATGAACAGATGATATGAAACAATAGATCCCATAGATAGATGGATGTTAGATGGGATGGATATATGATAGATAGATAGATATGAACAGACTAAAATAGATTTAAAGGGATAGATAGATAGATAGGATAGATAGATAGATAGATAGATGGATGTGTGTGATATATAGATAGATAGATAAGATAGATGATAGATGGGATAGATAGATAGATAGATAGATAGATAGATAGATATGAACAGATGATATATAGATAGATGGATAGATAGATATGAACAGATAGATGGATAGATTGAAAGACTAAAATTTTCACTGAGATAGATAGATAGATAGATGATGGATAGATAGATAGATAGATAGATAGATGTATAGATATGATAGACTAAAATAGATTCATGAGATAGATAGATAGATATAGATATATGAATAGATAAAATGAACAGACTGATTCAAAGTGAGATAGATTATAGATAGATAGATAGATAGATAGATAGATAGATAGATATGAATAGACTGAAATAGATTCATTCATTTTTTTTCTGAAGATTCTAGATAGATATATTTCTACAAAGATTTGAGAATAGATATCCAAAGATGTATCTGATAGATAGATAGATAGATAGATGAATGTCCATGGACTGAAATAGATTCATGAAGGACAGATAGATGAATAGATAGATGAATAGATAGAACAGAAATGGATTCAAAAAATAGATAGATAGATAGATAGATTTAAAGATGGATAGATAAGATAGATAGATAGATAGATGAACAGAATAAAATAGATATAAAAATAGACATATAGATAGATAGATAGATAGATAGATAGATAGATAAATAGATAAAGATTTATAGATAGATGTGAATAGGATAGATAGATAGATTTCTTGAAATAGATTCAAAGTAGATGATAGATAGATAGATAAATAAACAACAGACTAAAATAGATTCAAAGTGAGATAGATAGATAGATAGATAGATGATATGAACAGACTGAAATAGATTCAAAATGAGATAGATAGATAGATAGATATGAAAGGACTAAAATAGATTCATGGAGATAGATAGATAGATAGATAAATAGATGAATATAGATAGATAGATAGATAGATAAATAGATGAATAGATAAATAGATTCAAAAAATAGATAGATAGATAGATAGATATGATGACAGGACTAAAATAGATTCAAATGTGAGATAGATAGATAGATAGATAGATAACGTAGATATAGATGAGATAGATAGATGATAGATAGATATGAATGGACTGAAATAGATTCAAAGTGAGATAGATAGATAGATAGATAGATAGATAGATAGATAGATATAGATGAACAGATGATATAGAAGAAGGATAGATAAGATAGATATGATAGATGAGATAGATAGATAGATGAACATAGATGAAAAATAGATTCAAAGATAGATAGATAGATAGATAGATAGATATTTAGATAGATAGATAGATGAGATAAATGAGATAGATAGATAGATAGATAGATGAATAGATAGATGAGATGATGGATGAAAGATAGATGGATAGATGGAAATGAGATAGATAGATAGATAGATAGATAGATGAATAGATAGATAGATAGATATGAACAGACTGAAATAGATTCAAAGAGATAGATAGATAGATAGATAGATGGAATGGAGAACAGACTAAAATAGATTCAAAGTGAGATAGATAGATAGATAGATAGATAGATAGATAGAGACTGGAAATAGATTCAAAAAAGATAGATAGATAGATAGATAGATGACAGAACAGACTGAAATAGATTCAAAGTGAGATAGATAGATAGATAGATAGATATGAACAGACTAAAATAGATTCAAAAGTGAGATAGATATAGATAGATAGATAGATAGATAGATAGATAGATAGATATGAACAGACTAAAATAGACAGAAGTGAGATAGATAGATAGATAGATAGATAGATAGATAGATAGATAGATAGATAGATAGATATGAACAGACTGAAATAGATTCAAAGTAGAGATAGATAGATAGATAAATATGAACAGACTAAAAATGAGATAGATAGATTCGATGATGAACAGATAGATAGATATAGATAGAGGACAGACTGAAATAGATTCAAAGTGAGATAGATAGATAGATAGATATGAACAGACTAAAATAGATTCAAAGTGAGATAGATAGATAGATAGATAGATAGATAGATAGATAGATAGATAGATAGATAGATATGAACAGACTGAAATAGATTCAAAGTGAGATAGATAGATAGATATGAACAGACTAAAATAGATTCAAAGTGAGATAGATAGATAGATAGATAGATAGATAAATAGATAGATAGATAGATAGATATGAACAGACTAAAATAGATTCAAAGTGAGATAGATAGATATGAACAGACTAAAATAGATTCAAAGTGAGATAGATAGATAGATAGATAGATAGATAGATAGATAGATAGATATGAACAGACTGAAATAGATTCAAAGTGAGATAGATAGATAGATAGATAGATAGATAGATAGATAGATAGATAGATATGAACAGACTGAAATAGATTTAAAGTGAGATAGATAGATAGATAGATAGATAGATAGATAGATAGATAGATATGAACAGACTAAAATAGATTCAAAGTGAGATAGATAGATAGATAGATAGATAGATATGAACAGACTGAAATAGATTCAAAGTGAGATAGATAGATAGATAGATATGAACAGACTAAAATAGATTCAAAGTGAGATAGATAGATAGATAGATAGATAGATAGATAGATAGATAGATATGAACAGACTGAAATAGATTTAAAGTGAGATAGATAGATAGATAGATAGATAGATAGATAGATAGATAGATAGATAGATATGAACAGACTGAAATAGATTCAAAGTGAGATAGATAGATAGATAGATATGAACAGACTAAAATAGATTCAAAGTGAGATAGATAGATAGATAGATAGATAGATAGATATGAACAGACTGAAATAGATTCAAAGTGAGATAGATAGATAGATAGATATGAACAGACTGAAATAGATTCAAAGTGAGATAGATAGATAGATATGAACAGACTAAAATAGATTCAAAGTGAGATAGATAGATAGATAGATAGATAGATAGATAGATAGATAGATAGATATGAACAGACTGAAATAGATTTAAAGTGAGATAGATAGATAGATAGATAGATAGATAGATAGATAGATAGATAGATATGAACAGACTGAAATAGATTCAAAGTGAGATAGATAGATAGATAGATATGAACAGACTAAAATAGATTCAAAGTGAGATAGATAGATAGATAGATAGATAGATAGATAGATAGATAGATAGATGAACAGACTGAAATAGATTTAAAGTGAGATAGATAGATAGATAGATAGATAGATAGATAGATAGATATGAACAGACTGAAATAGATTCAGTGAGATAGATAGATAGATAGATATGAACAGACTGAAATAGATTCAAAGTGAGATAGATAGATAGATGAATAGATAGACAGACTAAAATAGATAAACAAAGATAGATAGATAGATAGATAGATAGATAGATATGAACAGACTAAAATAGATTCAAAGTGAGATAGATAGATAGATAGATAGATAGATAGATAGATAGATAGATAGATAGATAGATAGATAGATATGAACAGACTGAAATAGATTCAAAGTGAGATAGATAGATAGATAAATATGAACAGACTAAAATAGATTCAAAAGAGAGATAGATAGATATAGATAGATAGATAACAGACTGAAATAGATTCAAAGTGAGATAGATAGATAGATAGATAGATGAACAGACTAAAATAGATTCAAAAGGATAGATAGATAGATAGATAGATAGATAGATAGATAGAATAGATAGATAGATAGATAGATAGATAGATATGAACAGACTGAAATAGATTCAAAGTGAGATAGATAGATAGATAGATAGATATGAACAGACTAAAATAGATTCAAAGTGAGATAGATAGATAGATAGATAGATAGATAGATAGATAGATAGATAGATATGAACAGACTAAAATAGATTCAAAGTGAGATAGATAGATATGAACAGACTAAAATAGATTCAAAGTGAGATAGATAGATAGATAGATAGATAGATAGATAGATATGAACAGACTAAAATAGATTCAAAGTGAGATAGATAGATAGATAGATAGATAGATAGATAGATAGATAGATAGATAGATATGAACAGACTGAAATAGATTCAAAGTGAGATAGATAGATAGATAGATATGAACAGACTAAAATAGATTCAAAGTGAGATAGATAGATAGATAGATAGATAGATAGATATAGATAGATATGAACAGACTGAAATAGATTCAAAGTGAGATAGATAGATAGATATATATATATATAGATAGATAGATAGATAGATATGAACAGACTGAAATAGATAGATAGATAGATAGATAGATAGATAGATAGATAGATAGATAGATAGATATGAACAGACTGAAATAGATTCAAAGTGAGATAGATAGATAGATAGATAGATAGATAGATAGATAGATAGATAGATAGATAGATAGATAGATAGATAGATATGAACAGACTGAAATAGATTCAAAGTGAGATAGATAGATAGATAGATAAATATGAACAGACTAAAATAGATTCAAAGTGAGATAGATAGATAGATAGATAGATAGATAGATAGATAGATAGATAGATAGATAGATGGATATGAACAGACTGAAATAGATTTAAAGTGAGATAGATAGATAGATAGATAGATAGATAGATAGATAGATAGATATGAACAGACTGAAATAGATTCAAAGTGAGATAGATAGATAGATAGATAGATATGAACAGACTAAAATAGATTCAAAGTGAGATAGATAGATAGATAGATAGATAGATATGAACAGACTGAAATAGATTCAAAGTGAGATAGATAGATAGATAGATAGATATGAACAGACTGAAATAGATTCAAAGTGAGATAGATAGATAGATAGATATGAACAGACTAAAATAGATTCAAAGTGAGATAGATAGATAGATAGATAGATAGATAGATAGATAGATAGATAGATAGATATGAACAGACTGAAATAGATTCAAAGTGAGATAGATAGATAGATATGAACAGACTAAAATAGATTCAAAGTGAGATAGATAGATAGATAGATAGATAGATAGATAGATAGATATGAACAGACTAAAATAGATTCAAAGTGAGATAGATAGATAGATAGATATAGATAGATAGATAGATAGATAGATAGATAGATAGATAGATATGAACAGACTGAAATAGATTTAAAGTGAGATAGAGATAGATAGATAGATAGATAGATAGATAGATAGATAGATAGATAGATAGATATGAACAGACTGAAATAGATTCAAAGTGAGATAGATAGATAGATAGATAGATAGATAGATAGATAGATAGATATGAACAGACTGAAATAGATTCAAAGTGAGATAGATAGATAGATAGATATGAACAGACTAAAATAGATTCAAAGTGAGATAGATAGATAGATAGATAGATAGATAGATAGATAGATAGATAGATAGATATGAACAGACTGAAATAGATTCAAAGTGAGATAGATAGATAGATAGATATGAACAGACTAAAATAGATTCAAAGTGAGATAGATAGATAGATAGATGATAGATATAGAACAGACTAAAATAGATTCAAAGTGAGATAGATATAGATAGATAGATAGATAGATAGATAGATAGAACAGACTAAAATAGATTCAAAGTGAGAGATAGATAGATAGATAGATAGATAGATAGATAGATAGATAGATAGATAGATAGATAGATAGATAGATAGATAGATAGATAGAACAGACTGGAATAGATTCAAAGTGAGATAGATAGATAAATGAACAGACTAAAATAGATTCAAAGTGAGATAGATAGATAGATAGATAGAACAGACTGAAATAGATTCAAAGAGATAGATAGATAGATAGATATGAACAGACTAAAATAGATTCAAAGTGAGATAGATAGATAGATAGATAGATAGATAGATAGATAGATAGATAGATGACTGAAATAGATTCAAAGATAGATAGATAGATAGATAGATGAACAGACTAGAAAATAGATTCAAAGATGATTCATAGATAGATAGATAGATAGATAGATAGATGTGAAACAGACTAAAATAGATTCAAAGTGAGATAGATAGATAGATAGATAGATAGATAGATAGATAGATAGATGTAGACAACAGACTAAAATAGATTCATGAGATAGATAGATAGATAGATGATAGTTAGATAAAGTGAACAGACTGAAATAGATTCAAAGTGAGATAGATAGATAGATAGATATGAACAGACTAAAATAGATTCAAAAAGAGATAGATAGATAGATAGATAGATATGATAGATAGATAGATGAGACTGAAATAGATTCAAAGTGAGATAGATAGATAGATATGAACAGACTAAAATAGATTCAAAGTGAGATAGATAGATAGATAGATAGATAGATAGATAGATAGATAGATATGAACAGACTAAAATAGATTCAAAGTGAGATAGATAGATAGATAGATAGATATGAACAGACTGAAATAGATTCAAAGTGAGATAGATAGATAGATAGATAGATAGATAGATAGATAGATATGAACAGACTAAAATAGATTCAAAGTGAGATAGATAGATAGATAGATAGATAGATATGAACAGACTGAAATAGATTCAAAGTGAGATAGATAGATAGATAGATATGAACAGACTAAAATAGATTCAAAGTGAGATAGATAGATAGATAGATAGATAGATAGATAGAGATAGATAGAACAGACTGAGGAAATAGATTCAAGATAGAGATAGATAGATGGATATGAACAGACTAAAATAGATTCAAAGTGAGATAGATAGATAGATAGATAGATAGATGTGAACAGACTGAAATAGATTCAAAAGTGAGATAGATAGATAGATAGATGAATATGAACAGACTAAAATAGATTCAAAGTGAGATAGATACATAGATAGATAGATAGATAGATAGATAGATAGATAGATAGATAGATATGAACAGACTAAAATAGATTCAAAGTGAGATAGATAGATAGATAGATATGAACAGACTAAAATAGATTCAAAGTGAGATAGATAGATAGATAGATATGAACAGACTAAAATAGATTCAAAGTGAGATAGATAGATAGATATGAACAGACTAAAATAGATTCAAAGTGAGATAGATAGATAGATAGATAGATAGATATTAACAGACTGAAATAGATTCAAAGTGAGATAGATAGATAGATAGATAGATAGATATGAACAGACTGAAATAGATTCAAAGTGAGATAGATAGATAGATAGATATGAACAGACTAAAATAGATTCAAAGTGAGATAGATAGATAGATAGATAGATATGAACAGACTGAAATAGATTTAAAGTGAGATAGATAGATAGATAGATAGATATTAACAGACTGAAATAGATAGATTCAAAGTGAGATAGATAGATAGATAGATAGATAGATAGATAGATAGATAGATATGAACAAACTTAAATAGATATATTCAAAGTGAGATAGATAGATAGATAGATAGATAGATAGATAGATAATGAACAGATTGAAATAGATTCAAAGTAAGATATGTAAATAGATAGATATGAACAGATTGAAATGGAGTGATAGATTCAAACTGATATAAATAAATAGATAGATACATAGATATGAACAGCCTGCAATAGATAGATAGATAGATAGATAGATAGATAGATAGATAAAAAAGTGGTCTGATCAAAATGTATCAGGACTGATGCTATGGTAACAGAGCTAAAGTACACTTGGCACAAATTGATCTTAAACTTTGTCACATATGCACACTAAGTCATAATGTTCTCACTCACTTCCTTTGTTTATAGCAGTGCTTGCAAGGAAGGTGTGTAGAGTGTGGTCGTCTCACCGCATCACAGATGTTCCATTAGTGAACATGGGTTGGGCAGCAGTTTTTGGCCAAGAATAACATTCCCCAGGTCTGACAACCACCATATTTGCGAGATCTTGACCCTTGCAACATTTCCCTCTTAAAAACTCAAATCCCATGTGAAAGGAACAAGATTTCAAGACATCGATGAAATCCAAAAGAATATGACATGGCCAGCTGCTTGCTATTCCAAAAATGGAGTTCCAGCAATGCTTTCATCAATGGAATCAATCTTGGATAAATTGTGTGGCTTCAGAAGGGGATTACTTCAAAGGAGATTAAATGCTAAATCGATATGTGTTGTAGTTTTCTTTTTATAGCACCAGTCCTGATACTTTTTGATCAGACTTTGTATAACATTAGAAATCAATACAAACATATATAGTTAGCAAAACAACAAAATAAATCTGTCTATATTTCTGAGATGAGGTATTGAAACTATTTACATTATTTACATTGTTCAGACTGTTGTCCTCATCTTTGTTGTTATATTTACAATTTTTTGGCTGTTGAACATGCCAGGCTTCTTCAGATGATTAGAAATTCAAACCTTTATTTTTTCCACTGGGGTAAATTGTTCTTGTTCCACGTACCATGCCTCTTCTGGCTATCCCAGTTTCAGTTATTTCCCTTTAGTAACTCAACCCTCCATGGCCAGTGAATAAAAACATTGGCTGAAGTAATCCAGTGATTTGACCCAAAAGAGTTGTGAGTTCAATTCCTGGCCACAGCAGAGGTGAACAAAAACACGGAAAGTTGAGTTACTAAAGGGAAATAACTGATACTGAAATTGAAATATCGGGAAGAGGCATGGCATGTAGAACTAGAACAATCTACCCTGGTAGATGAAATAAAGGGTTTGATTCAAAATTCCAATCACCAGAAGAAATCCAGAGAATACAACGGCCAAAACATTGAAGTATGACAACAAAGATGACAATGTAAATAGTATAAATAGTTACAATACCTCATCTCAGAAATATAGATAGATTCTGAAGAAGGCCAGAATGGTCGAAATGTCATGAGTATGGCAACAAAGATGAGGACAACAGTCCAAACAATGTAAATAATGTAAGCAAAATACATTAATACAAATGGAATCTTTAGATTGATAGATATACGTACAAATTTTCAAAATGGTCAACTGCCAAAGACATTGGTTTGTGGAGATCTTTGCCAATAAGTATTGATCTGTACTCTCCACTTAGTGTGCTACGTTCCATACGAGGCTTGTCACTAATATCTGTCCAGAAAAGAAACCTACAAGATAAGAAATCAGAGTAGTTTAAAATAAACAAACTAAAATAAGCATAGATTAGAATTCTATTTATTAATACAGATAATTGTTGGCCTTGTGCCAGGCTAAGTTAAGCTGAATAAACATTGACTTGTAATTAATGTCAATCTGATGAAAAAAAAAAAAAAGCAACATCACACTGTTTCTTGCAGTCTCCTTGGAAACCTCATGGACAATTTTTGTTTTCAAAAAAATTACTTAAGTATATTTTAATATTTACTTTTTAGTGCATTATAAAACTTCTCTTCTTGCCCACTACAAAATACATTGAAGTCATAACTAGTTGTTACTGACTGCTGGAACCCCCATAGTTTTTGATATCATTTACTATAATTGAAAGTGAAAAATGAAAATGAGGGGCTTTTTATTTAGTCCTTGCTGGAATGAAGTTTGGTAGGCCAATTGTTATACTCTGCTTCAAATTAAATCTCTTTTTAATTCACTCCACATCAAAACCTGTCAGCTGGATGTGAACACAATGAAAACATGATTAAAAATAAAAAAAAGTATGAGACTCTGCGTGGGGGCTCTCAGCATCCCATCCAGCTCACAAAACAAATCCCCAACCCACCAAAAAACTAATTAAATTTAATTTCAGTCATCAAACATTTTCAGGGATTGTTTTCCAATTTATTCCCATTTAAGCAAATGGATGGCAAAGCAGGGTTTAGGAGGGGGGTGGCAAAAAGGCAAAAACTATTATGAGTTACAAAGGATAGGAAATTGTAAAGAGCCATGATTGCCAACGTCCTGAAAGAAGATAATATTTTATTTATTACTTTAACAAATAAAAATAAGAATAATTTTTCTTAGAGCCTTCATTTGAATCTTGATAGAGAGGAAAAAATATGCAAGAAAGAAATTCAATTTCATTCTCAACCAATCAATAATTAAGTATTTTAATTTACTTACCCTTCTGCAGGATGAACAGCAATACCAGCAGGAGAATCATTTATCCCCAAGTCAATCAGTTCGTAAACTTGGGAATGGAAAGTTATAAATGAAGCTACCATAATTGATTGATACAGAGCATCTGTCCAGTAAACAAGATTGGTAACCCAGTCAACAGCAAGAGCTGAAGAAAAAAGGAGTTTGCATTAAAAAACACACACACACATATATATATATATATATATATATACAGAGAGAGAAAGAGAGAGATATATATATATATATATATATATATATATATATATATATATATATATATATATATATATATATATATATATATATATATATATATAGGCTAGTGAAAAATTTATTTCAGTTGAGCTCTCTTGGTGCAGGGAGTGTGCGTTTGTAAACAGTGACTATTACAGCTATTATAGCAAGACTCTTTGGCAAGCAAATCAGGTCATCTCAGTTACTGTGCGTTTGTCTTAAAAAATAAATACGCTAAAATTCACCTTCGCCCCTACCATATGCCGACAACTTAGTGGTAGAATCTCCAATTGATGCCAATTCAGCTGGGTTTCAATCCTAGCTAGAGGCAACTGGACATCTAGCCACACTGAAGAGCTGTGATACAGCGAAACAGTCTGTCTGTGGATGACAATATATATATATATATATATATATATATATATATATATATGTATCTCTGTCTCCCTCCCTCCAAATATATATATATATATATATACAGGGTGCGATGGATAAATTGTCATCTAAATTACACAATATATATATATATATATTAGGAAATGGACTAAGTCCAACAATTATTTTAATATATATTGTTTATACATTATTTTTATAGATACAAATATTTAAGTAACTGCTCTGTTTATAGTAAACAGTATTAACAACATTTACCCGCCTGAGTGTCTGAGAAATTTCATATACCATTTAGTTACAGAGGAACCTTGCTAACCAGATGCTTCCTCTGTAGCTAAATGGTATAGTATGTCACACTCTATGGTGGTTCCATATAGGATACAGGTTTGATTCCTCTCAGAGGACACATATTTTCTATGAAATTTCTCAGACATTCAGGCCAGTAAATGTTCTTTATACTGTTTATTATAAACTGAGCATTTACTTAAATATTTGTAATAACACATAAACAATATATATATATATAAAATATTGCACATTGAGAGCTGGTGATAATAAAATAGTGCTCAATATATACTAACAGAATTATAAATACACATTTTTTTCCTCATTGATAGCACAAAGCAATCATTAGATGTTGATTGAAAACTTTCAAATTTCAATCAGCACCTAACAACTGCATTGTTCATTATTCCCAGAGTTGTGCTACCAGTGAGGAAAAAATGTATTATTATGATAGATAGATAGATAGATAGATAGATAGATAGATAGATAGATTTCCTATTACTTTAAGCGTTATATTTAGTGGATACACATGTTTGAGTAGACATCCTTGTTCTTTAAGCAATATGAATCTGACAGCCTGTTAATTTGGGTATCTTAGGAAAGCAACATATGACCTACTTGGTGAGTTCAGGTAAATTGATGGCAGAACAGGGTTTAGGTGCGATAACAAAAAGGCAAAATCTATTCAAAGTTTCAAAGGACAAGAAAATGAGCCATGTTTGCGAACATTCTGAAGGGACACGTGACATAGAAAAAGAAGAAATCTTTTGCCAGAGATCAATCTGCATATTCATTTGTAGGGGAATCCACTATATTTATATATATATATGCATATATAGCAAAATATAGTTTTAAGGTAATTTAAGGTAGTTTGTGTAATCATTTGCCTATTAGATACAACTACTTTGCAAACAATATATATATATATATATAATATCGCACATTGAGAGCTGGTATTAATTAAATAGTGCTCAAGGTATAATAAAACAGTTATAATTTATATTAATCATAAATAGTCATTTTTCCTCATTGGTAGCACAATGCAACCACCAAGTGTTGATTGAAAACTTTCAAATTTCAATCAGTACCTAATGATTAAATTGTGCATGAATCTCATTGTTGTGCCCACGAGTTAGGAAAAAATGTATATTTATTATTATATATATATAGGTAAATTGCCATATATATATATATATATATATATATATATATATATATATATAAAATATAAAAGTGATCATTGAAGTCAAAATTAGGATACAGTCTGTTTCATGTTAGATGCAATCGTCAGGCCTGACGATTGTGCCCAGCATGAAACAGACTGTCGACTCTAAGTGTTGACTTCTATGTTCACTTTTATATTCTATCTATCTCTGATATTGAGCACTTTATCCCATAAATATAGCACACCTTAAGACTATATTTCTTCATATATATATATATATATATATATATATATAAAATATAATCTTAAGGTGTGCTATATTTATGGAATAAAATGCTCAATATCAGAGATAGAGCGTATGTAAATATAAAAGCATGAAACAGACTGTTGCCTCTAAGTGTTGACTTCTATTTTCACTTTATATATATATATATATATATATATATATATATATATATATATATATATACACACTACATTGTCAGCTGATAAACTCACAAATATAAATTAACAAAGAAAACTTTCATTCAGTAAATACATATTCAGATTTGCATTTATTCTGAAAACAATAAATTTTCTGATAAATACCTTTAACAGCTGAAGATGTCCCTTTAAAAATGTTGTACTGGTGTTTTTCTCCTTCAATAAACTTGATTCCCTGAAAATACAAGCATAGAGAGGAATCATGTGTAACATTCATTTACACAAATGAATAAGTAAATAAAATATGAGAGGTAAAGGTGGCTGACTAAGTTCCCCTTAGGTCTGTAGTCACATGACACAGCAGTAATCACATGGGTTGAATCCATCTCTTGTTTTCTCTTGGACTTCCACAGTGTGAGGAACAGCACAGTAAGAGCAGTAAGGTAGGAATTGAATTTTGGTGATTTGATTTCTTTCTACTTTTGTCTCATGCACACACACATGCACACACACATACATGCACATGTGCATGCATGCACATACACATATTCACACACAAACACACAGAGGTTCAAACACCACCTATTGAAAAACACTGAGCTTCCATTCCAACCCAATATATATATATATATATATATATATATATATATATATGTATTATTATATAAGTGTAATATTAGTTGTTTCTTTATAATGAAACATTCAACATTCATTCACTGACTCGTCAGTGTAACCATCAGTTGAAATTTTATAAAATCTTTATCTTAAAACAATTTTTCAGGAAAATAAGTTTCTCAAGTCCAGTAACTGTTATGACTTTTTTAAGTATTGATAGGTCTTCCTTCCTAACTTTTTGTTTGTGTTGGTGTGGAATATCAACATCTTAATTACACCATTATTTTCTCTTCAGGTTAAAAAAACGTAATGATACCAACTTAATTATTTTAAATAAGCTAACTTTACCTTGTGCAAGATTTGCCCTCAATATGCAATTATATTCAATCCAAAGATTAAATTAGTAGCAATAGGTTCAATTATGGTAATCCAATTGTTTAATGATGGCTGATAGGTACTTATCAAAACATTGTGATGAGACTGCATCACTATTTTAGTCACTTAGTCATTGTCTACTTCTAGGAGTGTGTACTCATAACCAATCCAAGAAATGAATTCAAGCCTATATTAGCAGAGCTTGCTATGTCAAGTAGCAAGATTCAGACCATTTTGATCCATGCAGCCATGGCAGGCACATCTTATTTCTGTTTTTTTATCCAGCTCAACCCAAACTTTGGAATGCGCATAGTGTAGTGGTTATTGGCACAGAAAGTGGAATCAGCATACCAAGTTCAAATTCCAACCGAGTTTGTAGCATTCACTTTTGCACAAATACCCATAGGAAAAACATTGATCCATCTCTTCTTCTCCAGCTATGGGTTACATAGTTTTGCACAAATATCATTGGGAAAGGTATGAATTCATTTTTTCCTTCCCCCAGCTATAGGTTAAACAGTAGGGCAGATTGAACTGTTCTGATTTGGGTGGTAAACAGTTTAGGAGAATTCAAAGCAAAGGCATGGGGCTGGCAACTTCACCCCATAAAAAAGTACTTTTTATGGAAACCACAGCAACACTGCCTACTGTAGTGAAGCTGTAGCCATATAATCTACAGAGGAGTTTAATGGCAATAAGGAGGAGGAGGAGAAGAAAGAAAAAAGGAATAGTGTAGGAACATTAAATATTGCTATTTGGAAAAGCTTGAATGTATCTTTTCTTCCAACTAAGGATTAAATAGCTCTCAAGATTATTTGTCAACAAGTCTAGAAGATTAAAATTCAAAGGTTTGTTTGGAGCTGGCAATTACACCACATAAAATCTTACTTGCTACAGAAACCACAACAGCAACACAAAACATGGTAAGGCTAATTAAAACTAGGCCAGGAAAAGTATTAATCCATCTCTTCTCCTCCAGCTATGGGTTACATAGTTTTGCACAAATACCATTGGGAAAGGTATGAATACATTTTTCTTCCTTCCAGCTATAGGTTAAACAGTGCCACTTTTACTAATTTTTTTAAGTATTAAACTAACTTTTTGATAGGTCTAACTTCCTAACTTTTTGTTTGAGATGGTGTGGAATGTCAACATCTTAATTATGCCATTATTGTCTCTTCAGGTTACATGTGATATTCATTTTGGCTGTTGCTGTTGCTGAATGTCCTCAAGTGATGTGGTTTCTGTCATTTCCACCATAGAGAAGCCTCCCTGCTTCTCATCAAAATGGCTGATTCCCAACTCCTCGAGAACACCTCATTATGCCTGTTTGGTCCCACACTGTCCATTGACATGAGGTGGAATAAATACATTGAATCAATAGCTTCATCTACCCGCAAGGAAAATTGGTTCTCTGTGTCATGCCAGAAATTTTTTCTCGTCCATACTTCAAATCTATAAATCAACCATCCATTCTTGCACGGAATATTGCTGTCATAGATGGTCTGGTGCTTCCGCTGTATGTCTTGAGGTTCTTGACAAAATCCAGAGGCGAATATGCAAGATGATAGGTCCTGATCTGGCATCTAGTTT